AATAACTATTCCACATAAAGCCTTTCCCACACTACTTTTCTACCACCAATCGTGAAAACTAAACTTTGAAATCTTGAAGACGAAACCCCAATTTTAATCGAGAGCTTTCTTATGTGTTTTTCAGTTGCCTAAGATGTAATTTACTATAGGGGCTTGCATTTATAGGGAATTAAGAACTCAAATTAATCTAAACTTGTCCCGAGTTTCTTCAACCCGACTGACTCAACATAGATTTCTACTTAGGTGGTTGTCTAGTGTGCTTAGGATGTTAATGACAACCCCAACCCAGATGGGGTGTAAGTCCTCTGTGGAGAGTATTTTCAGCTTTGTAGCTGGACCTCTTCTTTCCTTTCTCTCATAAGGCAACTTCGACATTTATATGGTGGGTGTCAGTCCCACCTCTTGAGCGTCACCTTGTATGTCATAGGACTAGAGTTCCCTTGTTTTGACTTTAAGGCTACTGAGGTCCCCGTGAATGACATAATTTACGGATTGCTGACATGAGATCTCTAGACGTGTTGGGTCGAATACCTTCACTACCAGGTAGACTTAGGGTTATAGTAACTTGGGATGACGGGTCCGTGGCACCTTAACATTACTACCTCTACCTATTTAGGATCACTTTACCCTTCCTATTGTTGAGTTTCTTTGAGCCCTGTCACTCCTTTTACTTCGTTGATATCATCTTTAATGCTCATTACCAATGAGCTGTCGATCGTTTGAGATACACTGATTCAGCCTCTGCTCGTGAGCTCTAATGTATAGGGATATCTTTGTCGAAATGATTTTAGTTATTTCTTAGGCTCCGTATATCGATGAGTTGCTACCTAATTGGGATGTGAGAGACTCACTCTTTGTCCGGTGACTTAGCGAGAACTTTGAAGCATTAGAGTGTTTCCACGCGAAATAACCATTCTTTGATGAACATTCTCCATGTTCATGATAATATAAACAAAACTCCTTTTACCGAGGGTATTCTTAGGTATTCCCCAGGATATAATTAACCAGAGTGATACGTTCTTCTGAGAGACTCAACCCAAAACAAAAATATTTATTTGATTCTCTGGTTATAGGTGGCTTATGTAGGGACTCTTAGTGGATGTTGTGTTTTGAGATACTTCAATCCGATCCTGGTGAGACGTATACTCTTGACACGTCACACGAGGATTACCCATATTACCATATATAAGCCTTTTGATTGTTTTTTATCTTAGTTTGCCTATTTTTTGTCGTATATCGTTCTTTTTGATTCCTCTACTCTTTGAATCATTGATATGATTTAGAAAGAAGATTTATTTGAATAAGAAAATTATTCAATAACATATAAATAGACAAGTTGGTGACTCTAAATCTTAAAAATAATCGAGAAAATAATTACCTTATGATGAAACTCACAAGCATCACATATTTGCTATGACAAATCAAAGTTCATAATGTTAGAAAAGCAAATGGATGATTTTGAGAAGTTACATATAAACTAGTTGCCTTGTAAAGAATTTTAAGTATAGAATTGAGGCCATTAATAATATGACTATCAACTTTTTCAAAACCAATAAATCATTAACATAAATAAAATATGAGAAGCTGTAATTGCTAGTAATAATTTTGAGATTGTGAGATTCTATAGTGGTGGAGAAGACATCCATATATATAACAAATAAGTAAGAGAATAGAGGGCATTGTTGTTTTAAACCAGAAGAGGAAGAGAAAAAGCCATTTATTATTCTATGAAAGATAATAGATAAATAAAAAAGGTGTGTATAAGCTCTAATCCAAATTATAAAAAACTGAGGAAAACCTATTTTCTTCATTCTAAATAAAAAAATTGTCTATTGACATGACCAATATCACACCCCGTGCCCGGAAGGCGATACAGTCCAACAATGCAGGGCATGATGAAAGAAAATAAACCGATTTTGTATTCTAAAAAAAAAGACCAGCATGCAAATAAAAATGAAACGTAAATTTTATTCCATAATGAATAATCCATTTATACAACCGAAATATAAGTAGGAAATTGACTAAACCAAATTGAAATAATAACATTGAACAACTACATAGACACAAAAGAAAAATAACAAGCAAATACTAAAATTGGAAAGTCTGCTCCAGTGGAAACAGTCTCACTGATGGTAAATGTAACTTGTTATACAAAAATATCAAAGACTGATTTTGACAAATAAACTCAGTAAATGACAACTATTTATTAAAACATAAACGATTAAGAAACTGGGGCATGAAGCATGAACAACGAATAAGAACGAGTACTACATGCATATACATAACACTGTAAGACAACAAGGTGGTGGAATACATCAAATATACGTACATAAGAAAAACATGTAATCATTTCCAATCAAGTTACTTATTATTCACTTTTCTATTTATTATTTATATAGTCGGTTTTAACAGACACCATGAACAGGGAAGGTCAACACTACCCCAAGGAAACTTGGTGATTTTCTATAGAGTTATTACTCTGTGGGCCCGTTAGCCCGGGTAGTCAAAATCTAAAAGGGTTCTACTAACCTACATGTCATCACAAACAAACATGCCAAATTGATTCCACATGTATAATATATAAGAAGTATCCAATTTCACATAGTATTATAATATGACATGAATCCACATGCATGCTCATAACGTAAAGTGCAAGAAAAGAAAAACACTATAATTACAAGATTACTCAAATATGCAAAAAAATTTGCTTCAATAAATTAAAGTAGTGAGTGCTTCCATCATGTGCAATAATTGAAGCTTATAACAAATATAAAATTAAAGTAGCAAGGGCATAACTAACAATCATATAGAATAACTATGAATATACTACAATTAATAACGATTAACGCCTCTAACTAGGACGAGTATGTGTATCCTTTAATAAAAAAGTAGTTACTTATCTTGAGGCGGCCCTTAACTTCTTTGAATTCGACTATCAATCCTACACTAATTGAAAAAATTGAAATATAAATGATTATGCAAATAAATTTATTTATTCATTAAATTTTGGTGTTATCTAATCTTCAATTATTAGTACTATTATTCTTGTTCTTACTTTATTATTATTGTTATAATATTTAAACCAAAATTGTGAATGCTTACCTACTAACATACTTAAAATATTATATTCTCTTATTTTAGTTTGACAAGGTAAAGAAAAATTATTTTCTAAATGTTTTATAACCTAATAAACAACATAAGAACATATTTTAATCCTATCCTTCTTAAATCCCATTTCCCCTCTACTTGCCTTAAATCTCTCGATTCAGCAAATCCCGCAGGAGATGGGTTTACGAGGTTCAGGGAAACCGGTGTGCGTGGAAGTCGCCGGGAGCAAGTGGGAGGAAGCCGAAGGTTCTTATAAGCAAAGGCCTTCATCAAATTAAGTTTATAATAAAATATATTATAAACACTAGAAGAATTAAAGCAAAAAATGTTAACTCATTGCTAATATGATATTTAGGGGATAAAACCACTTTGTTACTTTTTAATCTTTTTCCTATGAAGACATTTACATACACAACTAAAATGTTAACTCATTCCTGTTGTGGTTAGGGGTGTAAACGAGCCGAACACGAGAGAGCCAAGGCCCAGCTCGTGTTCGGGCTGTTTATATTTCGAGCTAAGAAAATGTGTTATTGTTCAGCTCGTTTGTTTAGCTAGCAAAACACGAGCTATTCACGAACAACGTGTCGTTTTGATAGCCCTTGTTGTGGACTTTTCCTCTATCTGTGTCGAAGTTGATGTTGTGGTTATTGCTATGAAGCTTGCGGTAAATTATGGTTGGGATAGAATTATGATACAGATTGATAATTTGGAACTGTGGAACTACTGTATGAGGAATAAAGAATATCCTTGGTTTCTAATAATTCATATGATTTTTTTTTTTGCTTTATGTGATTATGTGTAGGTTCAATGGTTATTTATTCATCGTGAATCTAATTATTGTGCAAATTGGGCTGCGAGAAGAAGTTTAGAGTCATAAGCAATTAATTATTCTAATATTTTACCTACGGAGCTTCATCTTTTACTTAAAGAGGAACATATTAATTTACCTTTTCTTCGCATTGATAAGAATTTTTGATTTTGTTGCACTGGTTGTATAGGTGGCAAACAGGTCCTAGGTTTTTCTTTTGTTTGTGTGAGTTGTATGTGTTGTAAGTGTAAGTTTTAGTTTGAAACTATTGGCCACCACCCTATTGTAATTATTTTTTCGATATAATAAAATTTCCTACAATATATATCTATATATATATCTATATATATATATATTTGGTAAACATCCATATATACTCACATGACACTCAAATTTATAATATCAAATTAACAAAAAACCTTATTATCACTTTTTTAAAATGCGAAATATTTCATGCCCTTGTGTCGGAGCGTATTTCTGTCTGGACTCCTGACGTAACTCTAAGTGCCGCGAAAGTTATTTCTGAATTATTTTCAGATTATTTCTAAATTATTTTCAATAATTCTGAAATAACCAAAAAATAAATTCAGGATTATAAACTACGTCCACGCAAAATTAGACAGGCCTCCTGTCAGGAAAATATTTGCGTACATAAGAGGTATGCAACACTGTATATGTCAGAGGTTATTCAGAGAGTACAGAGGAGTTATATTCGGGTTATACCCCTCTGTAAGTTTCTTGTAACTCTATTGTAAACTCTTTGTAATTTATTTATACTCATGAAATTATAAAAACGTGGAATTTATTTATAGGCTACAGTTAGTTTACAAACGTAACCCGCGTACCCCTGAATAACCCTTAGCAGCCCTCCGTATACGCAAATATTTTCCCTCCTGTCGACTCCTATAACCGGATTCGCACTCCCCCCGCAGTTCCTGCTCCTCCGTCCCCCGAAGCAGAAGCAGGGAGCACGCGTGGCTTTCCTCCTTTATACCATAGGCAGAGCTCATCCCTTGAGATGGACTCATCGGCCCTTCTTCCCTTTCCCTCCCCTCCCCCTCCGCCGCCGCCATGATTGGCGTAGTTGACCACCGTGGTCGCCCCGCCTCCCGAGCATCTTCCGGCCGGTGGACCGCTGCTCTCTTTATCATCGGTAAGAAAGATATTCTTTTCTCTCGTCTCTTTCTCTCCCCACCCTCAGTGCGGCAGTTCATTCGGTTTCTCATCTCTGATCTGGTGATCTCATCGCAGGGGTGGAGATTGCAGAGAGAATTGCGTACTATGGGATTTCTTCGAATCTCATTACATATCTTACGGGGCCTCCGTGGCCCGGGCGGGGGCGGCCCCCCCCGCCGTTAATACTTGGTCGGGAGTGTCGTCGATGCTGCCGCTCGTTGGCGCGTTTGTGGCCGATTCATATTTTGGACGTTACAAAACCATTCTTTTCGCCTCTCTGGTCTACGTTTTGGTATGCTTCTTCCTGCCCTAATAATGCCTCTCTCTTTCTCCTTTTCTGTTAAGCGATGGTTATGTATATTTTTATAATAATTTTATGCACTTGTTTGAAAGAAAATTCGATAAGAATTGTGCTGCGTGGTTGACTGTTGCAAGTAGCATTGTTCGGAGTAAACGAAATGAAATCCAATGAATTTGTTGTTTGATTATGGTTTTATGGTTTTTGAATGATTAAGTTATTTTTAAGACTGCCCCGCATTATGCTGTGACTGATCGGTACTGTTCGAATTTGCATATATTTGACAATCTAATTCTATTCTTTGTTTCTTGGATGCGTATGATAAACGCATTGCAATTACTAGTTGGTATTATTCTCATCATTTTAATGTTTAAACGATAGTTGTTTGCTCTGCTGAGTGTGGAGTCTAATTTACTTGGGCTGAAATAGCAGCAACGACAGAGACAAAGGAACCCAGTGCTGCAAAAATGGCGCTCCAATGCTACATGACGTGCGTAACCACACCAATTTTGGGTTTAGCCATGTCGGACGATGTGGTTACGCCAAATAGCCACGTAGCTACGCAGCCGTTCCTTCGATTCCAGCTTCCGAAGCAGAGCGACTAGAATTATTATGCCGAGGAGGGACATGATTATGCTAGGGCAGTTTTTCTCCAGATTCGATTCTTATGCCCATGATTCAGAGTGAAATCACTTCTCTCTTACGAAACTCTTGTGCGTGGTGAACTCTCGAAGAGCTTTTGTGTGGAGCGATGAAGTTCGAGAGGTGGATTTCAGAGCCTGTGATTTCTCTTTTGTGATCAAAAGAGGATTTTAAGCTGAATTATTATAAATTTCAGTGGTGTAGAGAGAAGATTTGAATGGTCTAATTTTATGTATATTTCCCTTTTTATATTGAAATTTTTGGTTTGATATTACTCTATGATTTTTTGCCATCCTCGGGTTTTCCATATTAAATTTTGGTGTTTTTTCTGGCGATTACTTTGTTGTGTATTTAGGTATCAGAGTGAGATTTTTTTTTGAAGACTTTTGATTCGAGTGGAGCAACGATCGACAAAGCGAGGTATAAGGTGAAGAAGTTTAATGGATTAAATTTTGCCTCCTAAAAAATACAAGCTGAAGATTTTTTGTATCAAAAGAAATTGTATTTCTCACTACAATGAATCAAACAAGTACTCTAAAACGATGACTCTGAAAGAATGGTAAGTGCTGGATCGAACAACCTTAGGTTTGATCCATCTTTCACTTTTCTGGTCTTTTGCGTTTAACATAGTGATTGAAAAAAATTTGGTGGATCTCATGACAGCATTGTCAAGGATGTATGAGTAACTTTTTTCTTCAAATAAAATTTTTGTGATGAAGTGATTATTTAACTTGAAAATGATGGAAGTTAGTTCGGTGGCTGAACACTTGAATAATTTTAATATTTTGACTAGCTAGTTGTATTCTGGAAGTTAGTTCGGTGGCTGAACACTTGAATAATTTTAATATTTTGACCAGCTAGTTGTATTCTGTATGTATCAAATTTGATGATGAGATTAAGACTGTTAATTTCATTTTTATTGCTGGACAGTTGGGATGGATTGGTCACGGTGGTGAGTAACTCTTCAGGTAATATGAAGTTGAACTTCGATGACATCGTAAGGTTAGTGCAGAATGAAGAGTTTCGTCGAAAGGCAGCAAACAATGAATCTTGAAGTTATGCATTGAATGTTGAAAAATAGGAGAAAAAATCTTCAGACAGAGACAAGTTCAAGTCCAGAAGAGGAAACTTCAGGTTTGAGAAAGCAAATGATAGAGGTGAATGCTGGAATTGTGGGAAGAAATGCATTTCAAGAATGACTGCAAAGCTCTAAAGAAGGTTGGTGGTGGAGTCCAAGACAAAAATTTCTCTACAAATGTCTCTACAAACAAAATCCTTGGGGACTCCTTGGTTTTATCTCTGATAAATACTAAAATGTGTTGTTTCATTTGATATTCCAAAGGTGATCTTTCAAGAGAAGGGAATTGACCAGAAACTTGGGACTATCATGTGACATAGTAGACTCCGGTACTTGGATAGAGAGGGGATGAACTTAGCCTTAACATTCATAATTGAGAATGTTGGAGTAGGAGGATCTGAGAGGAGCGTGGAAGATGTATTGTTGCTACATCATAGGTGTATATGATACTATCCGTTCAGTCTATTAAGTTGTTTGTATCCATCCTTGTATGAAAAGGCAATAAGGTGAAACTAGGAGCTCTTTTGTCTGTTATGGGAATAGGAGCTTAGGTGTGTTTGATTTGATACATTCTAATGTATGGAGATCTTGTCTTACTAGTTCGATGAATGATTATTGTTATATTGTTACTTTCATTGATTTTTTTCTCGTGTTACCTGGATATATTTGATGAAACAGAAGAGTGAAGTGTTTGCTTGTTTTAAAGATTTCCACAAAGCAATCCAGACCAAATATGGGGCAGTTGTGAATGCACTGAGATCTGATAATAGGATATAATATTTCAACAAAGTATTAGAGGACTACCTGTCAGTTCAAGGGATACAACACCAAACCACTTGCCCATATACACCAACATATAATGAAGTAGCAGAGAGGAATAATCGACATCTTCTAGAGGTAGCCAGAACATGATGACAATGAATGTCCCACAACACTTATGATGAAAACAATGTTGACAGCTGCAATTGATTAATAGGATGCCCTTAAGAGTGCTGGAGTGGAAGTCTTCTTGTCAGATGTTGAAGGGAGGCAATAGTGGGATCCTTTCATTGAAGGTATTTGGATGTGTATGCTTTATAAAAGACAACATGTCATCTACAGGGAAATTGGATCCCAGAGCTATGAAATGTGTGTTCGTGGGTTATTCTGCTACTAAAAAATGTTATGTCTGTTGGAGCCCGATTGAGAAAAGACTTTTTGTGAGTATGAATGTGTCATTCAGAGAGTTTGAATCATACTACATTCTGGAGGTGAATTCACCCTTTGGTGACTCGACAGACGTTGGAGATATGAGGCAAGAGAGAGTAAGTAGTAGTGGTGCAAGTGGGAGCAATGTCATATCTTGTGATGTGGGATGAATCAAGTGAGGAGACGAAAATCGAGGAGATTGAATCCAAAGTTGGTTGATTCAGGCTAAAGGTGAGGGTGTATACACAAAAGAAGGAATAAACTGAGAAAATAGAATCTGCAGTGCCAACAAGTCCCTTGTTCCGGTTTTCCCCAACTCTTGATATACCTATATCATCCACCTTTGATTCAAAACTCCCAGGTCATATTATTCTTCCTTCATCCACTCATACTCCCCCAACGTTAAGGAGGACCTCCTGCAACAATGCAAAATATTCTCCTGATCGTTTTGGGTAGGAACTTGACATTGCGAACTTTATTTCTTATTATAACATCTCATCTTTACATGAAGCATTCATTGCATCATTGGACTCTGTCTCTATACCCAAGTATTGACAAATTTCTAAAGAGGATCTCAAGTGGAAAGTGACTATACTTGAAGGGTTTGGAGCTCTTGATAAAAATCGAACATGAGAGATTGTACCACCACTAGCAGGGAAGAAGGCAGTTGGTGCAAGTGGATCTTCACAGTAAAACAAACTCCAGAAGAGAATGTGAAGAGGTACAAAGCACGATTAGTGGCAAAAGGGTATAGTCAGACTTATAACATTGATTGCGATAGAACCTTTGCATCATTTGCAAAGATGAGCACAGTGAAGACACTGGATTTTCTGGCAATGAATGGTGAATGGAGACTTCACTAACTGGATGTGAAGGATGCTTTCATCATGGGAGCTACTGGAGGAGGTATATATGGAGATACCACCAGAATTCAGTATATCCTAGACAATGCACAAGGTGCGTAGGCTCGAGAAGTCGCTGTATGCTTGAAGAAGTCTCCTCGAGCCTGGTTTAACAAGTTTAGAATAACGATGGTTGACATGGAATATCAACTGATCAATGTAGACCGCACGATATTCTTTCGCCAAAATGAAGGTCACACTACCATATTTGTTGTGTATGTGAATGACATAATTATCACTGGTGATGATAAGACAGAGATTACTCAACTCAAGGGAAGATTGGGAGTGCAATTTGAGGTAAAGGATCTGGAACAACTCATATATTTTCTTGGGATTGAAGTGACCGACGAATCTGAGGGGATGGTTTTATCCCAGAGAAAATATGTACTAAATCTTCTCACGAAGACAACTATGTGGGGTGCAAACCTGCAGTCTCTTCAATTGATTAGAAGGTCAAGCTCAGTACAGAGACTAGTGAATCAATTGATTGTGAGAGGTACTAGAGGCTGGTGGGCCGTTTGATCTATTTGTGCCACAACCGACCCGATCTCTTTTGCAAAACGTGTGGTGAGCCGCTACATGCATGATCCAAGGAAGGGCCATATGATGAAGTGTATTAAATTCTGAGGTATTTGAAGTGTACACCTGGGAAATGGTTGATATTCATGAATAATGTACATGTAAATATAGAGAGCTTTTGTGATTCTTATTGGGCAACTCGTGCTGATGACAGAAGATCCATATCAGGATATTGCATTTTTGTAGGTGGCAATTTGGTCTTGTGAAAGAGCAAGAAACAATCACTTGTAGCAAGATCAACATCAGAGGTAGAATACAAGGCCATGACATTAGAAGTTGTTGAGATGATATGACTGAAAGCCTTGTTGTTTGAACTCAAAGTGGACCAGGGAACTCAAATGAAGTTGTGGTGCGACAAAAAGTCAGAAATCAGCATTGCTAACAACCTGATGCAACACGATATAACTAAACATGTGGAAATTGATAGATTCTTCATCAATGAAAAGCTGAATAGCGAATTGTTGGAACTAAGTCATGTAACAACTGGAGAGCAGGTGGCTAACTGCCTCACTAAAGGACTTAATTCAGTGGAATCAGCTAGAATATGTGACAAGATTGACTTAGTGAATATCTTTCGCCCATCTTGAGGGTGAATGTTGTGAGTA